AGCCCCTCCCTGAAATGTTGTTATAGTACCCAGAAGAAATACCCATCCGTGTCTGCGGGCCATAGAGAGAAATGTGTTTTGCATGGCCCATGAACTCCCTGCAATGTCGCAGCTGTTATATATAGCGTGTGGCATTCTGATACCCGTACTAACGAAAGCACTGAGATGGTCGGAATATCCCAAAATTACCTGTGGAATCATCTTGCCTCAGTTTTCCTACACCCTTGTTTCAAAACTGGGTTGAAATCTGGGTACTGTTCTTGTCTCTGACATGAGGTTCCGATGTAATTTCAAGTGGGTCTCACTGTCTTTATCATTTAAAATAGAGATAAAACACTAATCAAATAGAAATAATCAGAAATCAATGGAAATACAATTGACTTTGATACTTGGGTCACTAATATTAACACTGCGCTTTGAAATCCTTCTTTGAAATGTGTTGTCAAAATGAGATGTTTTAAAGGTGGGATTGGGTTTTTTTGTTTGTTTGTTTTCCACTTAACTAGGAATTAAATACCAGCTCTGGAACATAAAGCTTATGACTGAGTTGAGTCTCATATGTTTTCAATGTGGCTGGTCCCTCTAAATGTGTGGTCTTCTAGTTTTTTTGGTTAATGCTGAGGAGTCCTCAGGGATTTCAGAAGTTAAGATCAGTTACTGATGGAAGGAGTTATGCTGTTTATTGTTAATTTGCTAGCATATTTATAGAAATGTCCAGACAGTAGTAAGATTTTCTCTGCAGGCTGTTTTGCACCAAGCTGGCCGTGACCATACCTGATACCTGTTCCTAAACCTAACTGCTCTCCTGGGCTAGCGTGGAGACCTAACTGGGGTTTCCATCCTCCTCCAAGAGCTTGCGGAGATCTCAGACCCGGAGCTACTCAGAGCAGCCTTGGGACTGCTCGATTTGTGTCAATGGATTGAACCATTTTTAACCCGAGACTGATGGTGATTCCATGGGAAGTCAACATTTTTCATGGCTTTAGCTGAATGTTTGGGCCGAAGAGGTCTTTTGGTTTGGTTTTTAAACTATATCAGTGAGCTAAAATATTCCCTGCCCTCAGTTAAGCACTTCTAGTAATATTCTGTCCCTGGGAAGCCAAAGTAATGTTGCTCTAAGGAGATCCCATGTTGCAATTGATTTGGGTAAGTTATAGTTTCATTTCATTTTCTATTCCTGTTTTTTGTCCCGTGAGTACAACACTAGAAGTCTCAAGCTGTCTTTCAGCGAGGAAAAGACAAAGAGGAGCTTTTGTGTTTCTCACCATCTCCTCAGACAGTGGGTAGCGCTTACGATTTGCTGGTGAAAGACTTCCGTGACCTGAACGAAGTTTTAGGATAGACAGAGTGTAGGATTATGCTCTAAATTGGGATTTCTGTATGTGTTTACACTTCCTAAAAGTTGATTCACACAGCATCAGTTAAAATAACTCCAAGATAATACTTGCAGCATGATCTTTGTGGTTTCGTATGAAAATAATGCAGAGCTTCTTTGTTGATATGCAGTCCATTTTTTTAATACTTTTTTTAACCTAGAAATTAGTTTGGTTAGGTTACATATCTCTTTCTGTTCCTTCTTGTATCATGAGCCTACCATAAATCTGTAGGCTAACTCACAATACAGGTTTGAAACCATCTGTCATTTCTGGAATATAATGTCAGTGCTTCTAAAAAAGCCTTTTTCCACATAAACATCCCCCTCTTCAGAGTCAGGAAAAGCAGCCCTTCCCATCTAAAACATACCATTTAGTTTTCGAATTGCCATTTATTTGGCTCGGAAAAGGACAGGGCTCTCAAAGGAGGAACTATACGGTCAGTACCGGACAGGGAAAACATCAGAGGCACACAGATGCTAAGCCCTGCCTTTTTGGAACAGCAAAGCTGGGTGAAGATCTGACCCGGTCACATAGCAGAGAATGTTTTCTTCTCTAAAAGGCATGGATTTTATTCCCCTCAGTATCACACTTTGATGAATTATTTGTCATCCTCCGAAAGGGTCTGAATGAAGCAGTGGGCTGTGCCAGCGCTGGGAGAAAGCTCAGTGCCGTGGCTTGCTTTCTCCTGCAGTCCTGCTGAGGCGAAGCATGGAGAGGGGAGGAGCAGCGACAGGGCAAATGCCTTCCATGAGGCCCACGAAACACTATCTCTTGCAGGCAGCTGTTGGGAGCCTCGTGGCGCGTGCCAGGCGCGGCGTTCCTATCAACCCGCAGCTTCTCACCAACGGGTCGGGGCCCCGCACCAGCCCTACGCGCTCTACGCAGACCTTTCATTTAAAGCATTTCCTGGGGGGCAAACAATGTCCCTTACTCCTCAGCAGCATCCCATCTCCGCTGGGCCAGGCAGCTCCACTGAGCACAGCGTGAAGTAGAACAGACCAGCTTAGTAAGCCATCTACCTGCAATAAACTTGCTTCCTAAAATAGCTGCAGAGCCATGGGGTATTTTTATAGCAGCTACACAGGCCTTTTCTGCTCTGAAGGACTGTAAACTTTGAAGTGTCAGCGTGTGTGTAGAGTGATGCAATTCTGCCTGAGTTTGAAGACAGCCTGGAATGATAAGCCTGGGAAGGGTGAAGTACCTGCTTAATCTTGGTTAGGCTTTAAATATGATACTCAAGGGTGTCAGTGTAAATATCAACTCTGTGAGACCCTTCACTGCTGGTGGTTTTAGTAGTCATCAGGTGCATTATCTTAATGATCCAAATATTTTACAAGATGTAAACAAGTAGTATTGTTACTTTAGCATTTTATCTTCTTTCTATAAGAAAAAGTGGGGAAAAGAAAATCGTGTTTGCTGCCTTTAGACAATTGGGGATGTAGGATCTCAACATGAGTAAACGTAATAATTGTGTGATAGCTCCAGGCTGGCTGAGGCCGCTTCTTCCACCCGTCCCCCTCACCACATCTCTTCACCTGTTTGTGCCTGGCCGTCTTCCAGCCCCCATGTGAAGAGTGCCCTGGCTGAGGAGAATAAAAAAAAAACGTGGTATCAACTGGAGAGGAGAATGTGCTGCTTTGGGAGGATCAAGACTGCTTAAATTAGAAGCATCAAGGACAGCCGTTGCTCCGGCTATTTCTACTGGAAGGACAGTTGGGCATCCCTTTACCCTGCAGTTTCACCAAGAGGAATGATTAGGTTTCTCCTGCTGTTAGGTTATGTTAACCAAGTTGAAGTGTGTGGTTTGCGTCTGTAGTAACCTGGCTGAGAAGTTGGAGGTGGATCTGGACAGAAAGCGGAGCATGTGTTAGATGCTGAGTCCTCCTGGGACTGCCCTCTGTTTCCTCCGCACTGTGGATGCACATGGTGCTTCAGAAGCGCTCGTGACGACAAGGTCTCAGGAGCCCAGAGGAGCTAAGCAGGTCACCCACCGAGGAGGTGGAGAGGAATGTTTCCTAAAGCAGAAGGATGTGCTGAGTGACTGTTCGAGTGGAGCTTTACACCTTGTTAATACCCGTGGAGACGATGCACGACTGGCCAAGTGATGTGGGCACGGCTGCACGTTTGTCCTTGGAAGCACTGAACCAACCCCGTGAAGATGTTTGATTCAAGTTGCAAATGGAGTTTGAAGTAAGCCTGATCTGTCTCAGGGAGGTCAGAGCTCAGTGCTTTCCTTGGGGGACATTTTTGTCGCTGAGGCACCATGCGCCTTTGGTATTCTCAGAGTGTATTGGGGTGTCAGGCTGGCACGCCCAGGTATCCACATCTCCTGGGGACCAGGGAGAGGACAGTGTCAGTTATCACCCCAAGAGTGAACAAGCAAGTTCCCGACTGCCCTGGAGCCACCATGCAGGACCTATTCTGCTGCAAAATGACCACAAAGAATCTGTAGGAGCCATCTCCCGGGGAATACCAGCCCGAAGCCTCCTCCTCTGCAGCTGGTGCTTCTTCCACCCCAGTCCCTTCTTGGATATCAGGCATTTGGCCTGTCAAGAGACTCATGTTAACCCTTTCCCTGACCTTGTGTGCCGCTTATTTTCACTTCCACAGCTGTTGGATTTAAATTGGGAGCCTTTGGTGCAAAGACAGTGTCGTTTATTTTTAATCTGTGGCACTGTGTGAGCGTTAATTGGGACTGATAATAAGGAACGTGAACCTATTGGCACCCTTCTTGGTGGTTTCAGCAAGGAATGCTGGCATGGTGACAGCTCAGCTGCTGCTCTCTGCGTAAGAAGCACGCACTAGCCAGCCAACATGTTGAGGAAATAAGAAATATTTCAGCGATTCCTAAATGTGTCCATCCCTGTGTTTGAGCAGAAGTTTGCCATCTTGGCTGCTGTGTGCTGATGATAATGGAAACATTAGTTATTTATGGGTAAAATAAGGGCTGTTCTATTTGTGTTGTAGTAGTACAATGTTCTAAATATTTGGGCAGCCCAAACGCTGCTGGTGGCACGGTAACTGGATGAGAAAAACTTGGATGGCTTGGGATGTGGATGACACCATGCTGGTATATTTGTAACAGTAGGTTATCATCCAGAAAGTACCTGTGCAGTTAAAAATACTCAAAAGAATGGATATGCAGGCATTTCTGGAGGTAACCTGAGTCTTGACCGGTCCTTCTGAGAATTGCTGAGAGTCTTCCCATTTATTTCAGTGGCTGCTGTACTGAATGTGAGAGTTAATTTTACAGGTAAATGGCTGTAGGACCAAGCACCTCATGAGGAAAATAGCATCACCAAATCATCAGAACTCAAGGTACCATGTGGGTACCATGGTACCAGCTCTGCTGATCCCCAGGGTATAACCTAGATGCTATTAGGGATATTGTCACATCTGGGTTAGCCTGCGCTGTGTGATGGTCGGATCACTGTACTAGCAGATCCAGAAAAGGAACAGAAGGATATAATAGCCAGGGCTGGCTATGGCTGTGCTGGTAAGTGGGGACAGAAGGAGGTTTGGCGATGGTGCAGCTGCTCCCCTGGAATATGACGGAGGTTGCTAAAGGGGAGTCAACAGTTCCTTTGCTTTAATATTCCCCTGATAATTAGGAAACCTCGCAATATGGGAAGCTTCATCCTTTCATGTCTCATTTAGTGGTAAACTGGAACCAAACCACAAATCCTATGTAATGTAGTTATATAAATAAATACAGTTATTCAGTTCCACAGGTTAACTCCTGGTGACAGAGAGGGTTTCTCCCCTCCTTTTTGACTTTGTTCTCTTAATTCAGATGAACATCCTCTTACACCGCGTCAGGAGTAGGAGCAAAGAACTCCGTTATTTGTCTTTGCTGCATTTGCAGTTGTTTTAACAGATCTTCTTCCCCAGTGCGCTTCCACACGCTTTTCCTTCTCCTTTCTGCTTCTGTCTCTGCTGTGTCCCTTTTGACAAAGAATGACCAGAAGCACACGTAGTGGTCCAGGTTGGAGATTGCTGCTGCTGGGCCTAATAGGATTATAAGATTTTCAGCATTAATCCTTATCCTGTTCTTTAGGAAGACTAACCTTTTACTTAGATTTTTGCCTTCTGTTCCACAATTAGTTGACTCTTCAGTGATTTCTTTACATCTGCTGTTTTGTTCCTTTTCAAGGTGATTGTAATTCATGTAGACCTCTAGCACGGAGCAGAGTAAGAATTGTCAAGAGTGTTGTGATTATTTTAGTGCTGCAAGTGAACTTTTCCTAACTTGCTGATGAATGTCACTACTTCCTTGCCTTGACCTGTACCTTGAGGGTATGTGTTTGGTTTAGCCCAGACTGGAGGAACATATTTCTGTAGCTTTAAACGTAGGAACTACTACGTCATGCTCTGAGAGTCCTTGGTTTGCTGATCAGGATGTCTGCTTCTGCTTTTGCACAGACAGTAAAGGAGCCAAGGCTTTCCAGAGTACATAGCTCATTCAAAGGAGCTTTGAAAGATGGAAATGGGTGGGGAATGAGTTGACTCTGTATTTGTAGCCTGGTTTCCTAAGGAAATAAGGCTTAAGTAGTCTGTTTTTCCACTGCTGCTAGCTTTTGGATCCAAAAAGTGATTGTGGCCAAAATAGATGGGTCTGAGAGGTTAAGTTTCTACGTTATTTCTACGTAATTATTAACTACATGTTAGGGCGTGTAGTGATAGGAAAAGGGACAATGGCTTTAAACTGAAAGAGGGGAGATTTCGATTAGATATAAGGAAGAAATTTTTTACAATGAAGGTGATGAAACTCTGTAACAGGTTGCCCAGAGGAGTTGTGGTTGCCCCATCCCTGGAGATATTCAAGGCCAGGTTGGATGAGGCTTTGAGCAACCTGGTCTAGTGGAAAGTGTCCCTGCCCATGGCAGGGGGGTTGGAACTAGATGATCTTGAAGGTCCCTTCCAATCCAAACCATTCTATGATTCTGTGATTCTATTCATAAGAATTGGCTGCTGAATAGTAGATTGTCTCTTAGCAGTGTCTGCCAGGAGGTAAAAGCTGCAGTGTTAACACCATAGGTAGGTCGTTCATTTGGCTTGCCAGCTGGCAGGCACCAGTCAGGCAGCCGATGCATTTACCATGCATCAGGGAGTACAAGGAGTACCCACAAGGTGTCATAGCACACATGGTTCCCAGGTCAGCAGGCGGTTGTGGGAGGGAACGGAGGGTCTGCGCTGTGATTTTTGGGGATATGTGGAGGAAAGCTGAAGTTCTGTGATGTGGTTAGGAGAACATCAGGTAGAACAGGAGTGTTGCAGAAGATTAAAGAGAAGAGGAGAAACTGAGGAATGGCATCGTTGGAATTTGTGTGGTTTGGGCTGCTGCCCCCCAAACTGTGGGCCGTCAGGATAACTGTCAGGGAACAGCTTGTTTTAGAGGCAATGGGCTGATGTGCAATGGAGGAGCAAGGAGCAAAGGAGCTCCAGCATGTGGGACACAAGGAACAGTAGAGTAAGAAGCTGATGTCACTACAGTCATTAAAGGAGAGAAGGGATTGAGGTGGGATGTGATAAAAGAGCAAACCAGCATTTTTCAGGCACTGGAAGGTAGAGATAATATTACTTCAGCTTGATAGGCAAGGGTAGCATGTGTGTGTGGGGGAGAGAAAGATAGAGGTGGGAGGGAAAGATTTAAACACTGGTGCATCCCGGTGGTGTAGAGATCAGTAAAGCACAGAAGGGAGGCTGAGAAGGATACTTAGACGAGGATTGACTTAGTGTCTTGGGCAGAAGGATAAAGAATCAGCCTTGGTTTTGTGTAGTGTGCAGAAGGAGTGATTTGGCAACAATCTGAGCATGGGGATGAAGGAAGGCAGGAATCAACAATAACTTTAATTACACAGGAAGCTTGGATGAGGTCGAAGAGAGGAGTATTGTCTTCAGCAGGCGAGAGGAACTGAGGGAAGAGATAGAGAATTGACGTGTATGTTTGAATTAAATCAATTGTCCTCAAGCCTGATCCAAAGAGCAGTGAAGACAGTAATTTAGAGACTTTTTGGAATATGCCCATGTGCAGGTATTTGTCTCCAAACCTCTGAATATGCTTTACAGAAATGCCTGAACATCTTTTGTCTTCCGTTTCTAGGGTGTACTCAGTGGTTAAGTGACTCCAAGCCACATACTAATCCACAGCAGTGGCAAGACTGGGGTCCAACATTCCTTAAAACTGTTTTCAGTCTGGTAAACCACAGCAGTAATAAATGTCCATATATGCACACAACACACTGCAAGGCAAATCAGTGAAACTCTCAATCTCCAATTTAGGGAGAGCACATCACCTTATTAACTGTCCCTTGCTCTGCATATGCAAAAGTATTGCAGTTTCCTTCCCTCAGAGGAATTTTTTCCAAGTGTTTATTGTCTGCAAGTAATTCTTTTCTAGTGATCCTGTGAACTGTTTGCTTCTTCAGGATCCAGTTACTTTCTGTTACCAGCACAAACTGAGGAAACGAATATCCATCATTCAATGACTATTTGCAGGAAATAAAAGCGTGAGATAGCAGCCAGCCTGGGCCAAGAAGGAAGGACAGAACTGCGGTACTTTTTATAAGGAGAGCCAAAAATATCATTCATATGCTCAGCTGTTAGTTGCTGAATATTGTGGAGCTTTTTTCCTTTTGTGAGCTCTGCCTTCTTTGGATTAGATTCTGCTGCGGTTGAACTCAGAGGGAATATTTGTTATTAGCTTCAGTGAGAACGGACCAAGCTGTTGTCTGTGTGTCCTTCCTTGCCTTAACCGGTGTTGCTGTTTGTTAAGATACTGCAAGGGACACAAAATGTGTTTGGTTGCCTGGAATCTTTCTGAGCATTTGTATCTAATCCCTGCATACAGCACAGCCCCTGTGGGTGGGTGAAATAGGTTCAGGGCTGACTGTTTCCAGCGAAGCTTTTCGAAGCCAGTGCGAAGCCTCTGTGAAATCTGAATCTTCTCACTCAGTAGCTGCTTTTCTGAAGTCTGCATTGTGCTTCAGGTTTTGCTAAGGTATGGTACAGCAGGCATGATGAATAGCAGGCAAATTGTCTTCGGTCACTGCTTCGGAAATCAAGATGTGTGCTGGCTCACCTCATTCTTTCGCAAATACCTTCTTGAGCTACGGGAAGTGCGATGGTACACCATATCCCAGAGTGTTAATTTTTAATGTCCTATGCACATAATGGACTCAGCTGTAATTATGAGTCCCACGGCACACAATCACTACTGGCAGGATGGAAAAGACGACTGCAGGTCCGTGTGGCTCCACAATTAGGGACTGAAACGTTGATTATTTCCATTCCCAAGAGCAGCAGAAACAGCTGTATGAATTTAAAGCAAAAGCTCCAGTGGAAAGAGGGGTAGTTGCAAGCCAATAAACATTCCCCTGCAGTCTATTAAATTCAGACTTTGCAGCATCATCCTACTGCATTGAATAAAACTGACTGAAACCTGGGCAGGGCAAAGTGGTTTTGACAAGCCTATGCTTATGTCCAGAAAAATCGAAGTGAATAAGCAGCTAGGCAGTGATGCAGAGAGGAGTTAGTATAAAAAATTCTCAACCTTTTTTCCCAGTAGTGCTATTTTTACCTCACGGATCCTTATTTCTTTCTTACGTGAAATCTTGAAGCTGACAGCAATCCTTTCAGACGTGAAAATGAAAGGAAACTGTCTGAAAGAACAGTAGAGCTGGGATTTTTGGGCCTGATCCTATTGGCATATCTTGGTGGGCAAATTCCTCCTCCTTTGATGAGCCCAAATCGACTTTACCGAACAGTGCAGGGCTCTTCCCTTTAACAGGTTTCATATAAGATACGGCCCCAGCATTCAAACCTTTGTGCCGGTAGAGCTTGGATGCTGCTTTATCCTCTTCCAGCTTTTCAGAGTATTGAATAGAGCTGGAAGGGGTTTTAGACAAATGATTCTCATTTTGTCCTGCCTCTGAGAGCAATACTCTTATATTCCTGGTGTCACAGTAGATTATTTTGAAATCAGGTTTTTAATTTCCTTTTAAAAGTGTGGTGGCCATTTTTATTTTTTTGTTTGTTTTTTGTGTGTAACTCATAAGGTACACCTATGGAAACCATTGCAAAAGGAAAGTCAACCTGAATCCCTGCTCTTCATTCATGTCACTGGCAATAGTTTCTTTGAATTCAGTGATGCAAAATCACTTGTGTGCTGTATTTCATGCACTCAAGCTTAAATCAAATCATGACAATTTTTACTAGTGCAAGAAACACATTTAACAGACAGGAAAAAAAAATCTTTCTCTGTGACAGGAAATCAATTTAATCCATTTGTTGTTTGTTTGTTTTTTTCCAGGCTTATATTTGGCACTCTTTACCCTGCATATTATTCTTACAAAGCCGTGAAATCAAAGGACATCAAAGAATATGTGAGTAATGAGGTTTGTGGCTGTGCTGCAGGGTTTGTTTTCTAAGATTGCTCCTCACCACATTGTAAAGGTGTTGCCTGTATTCTGGTAAAGCTCATAAACCAATACAAGGGGAAGACTGGCCTGAAGATGGACTGACTGCTGGGCACGAGTCTCAAATAAGGAGACTTGGGTTTGTGCTTCTGGCTCCTCTGCAGAGTTGATGTGCTCTTTGACAAGCGTATGCTGTTTCTCTGGTGGTGCGAGCTATCTGCGGCTGACTTAAAAGGTGTTTGGCATCCAGAGCTTTGCGTGTTTGCCTTTGTTTCTGAGGAGCAGCATAAATCAAAGCTTTTCAAAAAAGCCTTGAAGCTTTAGCTGCTCATTCAAAACAAGGATCAGAGAAGGCAACTCAAAGCACGTATGACTGAATCCTCAGATAGAAGCATTCTTCCTTGTGGAGCGACCTATTTACAGGCAGGTCTGGCAACTTTTTTGCTGAAAAATGTTCCCTGGGCCCCAGTTTCTAAAGGCCATCAGGGAAAGTGAAGTGTGGGAGAATCAAAACCACTTGGATGCTGTTGGAATCCTGTAGGATTTGCTCACAACCTGAGCTCTGTTAACTTCACTGAACCCAGGTCAGCCTTCAGATCTTGACTCTTCAATCCTCTCAAGATCCCAGGAATAACAAGCCTATTTTCTTCTCTGGGTAACAGCATAGATGGCTATCCCATTAAGTCCTTAGCACAAGCTCAAACTGGGACTCACTGTGGCTGCTGAGATTTTTCCTATCAGTCCCCTTTTCAGGTAATGATTTCAGATATTTTGAGAGTCGTGTTACAGAACACATCAGATATTTGAGGCAATATGTCCATGTAGCCCTTGCACAGCGGTGCTTCAGAAGGTTTGTACACCCTTTGCTTGGAAATGCTAAAGATGTGCGCTAGCATCCCCAAGCAGTGTCTGCCACTGATACTTCACGTTTCCATAGTCCCTTTCAGGAAGGTACTTTGCTAAAGGGTTCAATTCCTGTTGGAAATTCAATTGCAAAAGAGGAACTTGCATCAGACACTTGGGTTAAGTGGGAACAGCTGATCTAAGACCTGGTCTGCACTTAAAATTGTTTTTCAGTTTAACATTTCAGTTGTGGCAATATGTCCATTAGTGGTCTAAATAAAAAAAAAAAAATAGTAATTTACATTGACACAGTACAAACCTTCATCTACTAGTCAAAACTTCTGTTACTGTAGTTTATTTTCATTCTTATTCTGCTTGGTAATAGTCATTTTGATAAATGGTGTTTTAGGCTGATCCAAGCCCATCAGCACCAGATTTTGGGTTGTGTTTAAAAGTTTTGCTGGCAGTAATGTCTAAGTGGCAGAACTGTGCTGCCAGTGAGGCTGTGAAGGAGCTGCAGTTATGTAAAAAGTCTGGCAGAAGCTGCCCTGGGAAGACAATGCTTTCAGGCATTTCGCAGTGCCATTCTGCTGCTGTGACACTACATCTGAATATACATATAAATCCCAGAGACGTGGTTATATAGCTGGGTGACAGGTGCTCAGGGAATAATTTCAGTACCTGCAGGGAGATGGAGAGAGACTACAGATACTGTCCCCGGTGCAAGAGGGAGAAGGTGAAGCAAGCCATTTCAGAGCTGGTGAGATCCAGATTTATTGCCATCTCTATCCTCCCTTCCCTAGAGCAGCACTTGGTGTAGGTATCCCTCTTGTACTGCCTTCTTTTCAGCCTTCCTTTATTCTATTGCAATTATCCCAGCCTTAGGTAACATGGTCTAATTCTCTAATTCTTGGATTTTCATGGATTTTACTTCCTTAAGCTTTCTAACATTTCAGCAAAACTGCTTAGGGATCTCCATTTTCAAATATAGCAAATTAGACAACAATTTTCAGTTAAATTAACAACTTTTGTCTTACCATCTCTTTTCCTTTGGAGAGACAGATTCTTAAAGCTGTTTGAACGGTAAGTTTTATGATTTTACAATGGGGAAAAAAAAACCAATGGGGAATGAAAGGTTTGTGTCTCATCTCCAGTACTTGAAAATTATTCCTTACATCATCTCTGTGGTGACAATGCTGAAGAGGAGCACCACATCACAAATACATTGTCTGTTTCCAGCCCAAGAAGAACCAAGAACCAATACTGCATACATTGGAATAGTTGAGCTGTGCTTTTAAATGCCATTTAGTGCTCAGTGGCAAAAATCCCCCGGTTCCTGAATTACTCGAGATAACAGTTTCCCTGACCAAGTCACAGTCTCCAAAGTCTCCTTCTGTGTCTGTGACTATCACTGCAATGGAGACTGCCCATAAATCACCCACCAAGCAGTCCACCCCACAGTGGAGTTACCATAGTTGAACACAGTGACGGCACAGCACGTGCTTTCACTGCCAACATGGTGTAAAATGCTCTCACTGTGGTGGGTTGTCCCTGGGTGGATGCCAAGGGCCCACCAAAGCTGCTCTGTCACTCCCTTCCTCAGCTGGACAAGGGAGAGAAAGTATAACAAAAGGTTTGTGGGTTGAGATACAGACAGAGATCATTCACGAATTACTGTCATGGACAAAACAGACTTGACTTGGGGAAAGAATTAATTTATTACCAATCAAATCAGAGTAGGATAACGAGAAAATAAAAACTAAATCTCAAAACACCTTCCCCCTCCCCTCCCTTCTTCTTGGGCTCAGCTTCACTCCTGACTTCTCTACGTCCTCCCGCGCAGTGGTGCAGGGGGACGGGGAATGGGGGTTGCAGTCAGGTTGTTGCACATTTCTGCTGCTCTTTCCTCCTCAGGGGCAGGACTCCTCACACTCTTCCCCTGCTCCAGCGTGGGGTTCCTCCCATGGGAGACAGTTCTCCATGGACTTCTCCAATGTGAGTCCTTCCCACAGGCTGCAGTTCTTCACAAACTGCTCCAATGTGGGTCCTTTCCACAAGGTGTAGTCCTTCAGGAACAGACTGCTCCAGCGTGGGTACTCCATGGTGTCACAAGTCCTACTAGCAAACCTGCTCCAGTGTGAGATCCTTTCTCCACGAGTCCACAGGTCCTGCCAGGAGCCTGCTCCAGCACAGACTTCCCATGGGGTCGCAGCCTCCTTCGGGTGCATCCACTTGCTCTGGTGTGGGGTCCTCCATGGGCTGGGAGTGGATCTCTGCTCCACCATGGACCTCCATGGGCTGCAGAGGCACAACCTGCCTCACGATGGTCTTCACCATGGGCTGCAGGGGATTTAAGCTAAGTGACTTGCCCTTGCATCTGCAAAGGCCTCAGGGTGTGGATGTGAGGAGGCATTGCCACTCAACTGATGCATGCTAATTCAATAAGTTGCAGTGAGTTAATTGTGCTCCTGAGCCCTGGATCATGGGATGGGCAGTTACCTCTTTATCTCTTCCTGGCTAGTTGCCACTGCCTGTAGATATTATGTAAATAATTACATTTTGTCTTAATTACAGTTTGGCCAACATCTTAGTGTTAGCTTTTGCTATTAAGATGAGCCAAAGGAGATTTTTAATACCCTGTGATAGGGCTGTGGTCCTCCACTGGCCAGTGGAGCTTTCTCTGTAGGGACGGAGTCAGACTGCTCTTCTTTTCATGAGACCAGTCCTAAGGCCACAGTCTTCCTTCCCAAGAGCTTGTGTGGAAATCTGACATGTGTTATGTGCTGAGGTGGGGGAGCTCTGGCATCTTCAAGTCCATAGTAATTGTTAAATACAAAGGAGGTGGAAAAATAACTTTTTTTTTTTTCTATGAGAGTTATTCTGTACACTTGTGCCTGTAACAGATAGTTCAAGGCCCTTGAGGAAAAATGACCCAGCTACTGTTTTTGTTTACCAGGTCAAATGGATGATGTACTGGATCATATTCGCGCTCTTCACGACAGCAGAGACGTTCACGGATATCTTTCTTTGCTGGTAAGCACCAGATGGGAGAGGGTCTTTGGTGTGAGATGGAAAGAAAATGGAAATGTTTACAAGAGGGGAAAAAAGGGCACAAAGGTACACTGCCTCCTGAACACAGGGTTAGCAGCTTTGGGTGCATAGAGGTGTTTTGTCTGGAGGAGCCATGCTTCCTTTCTCAGTGCTGTCATAGGAAAAGCAAGAAAGAAGATGGAACTGCTCAGCGGTATCTCATTAGTGAGAAATCATTACAGGAGTCTCAGTCCCCTGCCTGCCAGAGAGAGGTGCAGCTCACTGCTGAGTTGGATGCTTGCAGAGATCCTCACATAAACAACAGTAGCTTTAGCTGCAGGCATAGTTCTAGACTTGTCTAGCTGTGTCCTACAGTAAATACACGGACTCTAGGGATCTGGTGGAAACAGCCCTGCAGCACAGGACTTTGATTATAGATTGCCGTGTGGGTTGTTGTTCCTGGGATGTTTTGCCAGGCCTATTCCTGAGTAGCCTGGGTTTATGGTTTGATGGAGGTTGGTGACAGTCCATGCTAATGGGGGCTCTCTGGTGCCAGTGGAAGAATTCCTGGTGACCTCTGCGAGGAAGAGAGCACATAAATGTCCAGTTATCAGATTCAGTTCTTTAAATTTGGATGCTCAAGTTTGGAAATGTTTGTTGCTCGATTGCCCTTTTTAGTAAGGGCTTCCTAGTGGAAACCAGTGAGATCAGAAGACTTGAGGATGAAAACTTAACTGTAGTGCATGGCCCTCACCTAAAGCCTGTTCCTGTGTAGCACTGCATGCCTCTAGTGAGTCCCCCAGACATGGGAGTTGGGGGTACTTGGCAACATGTCAGATCTGTTGAAAAGGAGATAAAAGACGTTATTGTCTCTCTATCTAATTTACATGCAGATCTACCTCCACTGTGTTCATGTGAAGCTTTGTGTTTTTGGAGGATGTATTATGTGCTTCTCTCAGTTAGGAATGACAGAGGGCTTGTCGAGCCTGTGAAATCAAGTATGCTGTAGAGATCCTCAGTAAGGGGGAAGACCAACCTGGCAAATCCACGCTCAGAGTAGAGCGTTGCAGAGGCACATTGGGTCAGACTTGTATGCTGTATGGTCCAGCTGGCTCAGTGACAGTGCTGTGCTGGCACAGCAGGAGTCTGTCTGGGTCCAGCTGGACTGGTGCACAGCCATCACAGGGTCTCTGTGCTGCTCTCGCTTGCCCCTGCATTGGTTTGTCCCACTGCTGAGAGCAACATGCTTGCCAGCATGAGGATGCTGCTAGCTGGCCACCCTTGAGCTCTAGGCTTTGTCCTTCAGAGAAGAGTCTAGATAATGTAATCTCAAGAAGTCCCTGGCTTGTTGTTACAGCTAAAGCACGTCCTGTTTGTGTCCTGTGTGTTTTGCAGTGCTGCATGAAAGCCACAGTGTGGGTCTGCACCTTCATGTTGCGTGTTGCTTGGACAACAAAGGTTCTTGTATTTCAGTTTCAGTCAAATAAGTGTTACCTTAAAAGCAGAAAGGCAGAGAGATGAAAGATGCATAAATATATTGATGCAATACTGATTTGCTGATTTGCTCTTTGCTCCCTCATAATGACCGAGGATGCTATAAAGGCAGCATCTGTGCTCTTTGCATGTAGAAAGCTCCTCAGCTCCTCTTGCCACACAGCAGAGTGTCTTCCAGACCATTAAATAATAGCTCTGATACCCAAGTAAAGATTTACCCGCATGCCTAGTTGAGATGTGTGCAAAGGTGAGCCAATGTGTTCTGGTCTTCGGATTCTTTGGTAAGCAAAAAGATGCTTCTGTGCTGAGCATCTCTAATTATGGGCAGTGGTTAAATTGGGAGCAGACCTTAACAGCTCTTTTTCTTCTAGGTTTCCATTCTACTATGAGCTCAAAATAGCTTTTGTAGCTTGGCTGCTGTCTCCATACACAAAAGGCTCCAGCCTCCTGTACAGGAAATTCGTTCATCCAACGCTGTCTTCAAAAGAAAAGGTAATCACAGGTGCCTGGGTCCTTTCTGGGTGGAGCAGATCTACACCGTGTTTACTCCAGCCTTCGTATCACTCATTTTCATTGAAAGACTGGGAGTTGCTGATTCTCTTCCTCTGTCATTTGATCATCTCCTTTTGGTTGGTGTTTTTGTTCTTTGTGTTTTTTGTGTTTTTAAATCCTGGCATCTGTTCAGCATGCTAATACGTATTAACTCATCTTTGTGCACTTGAGAAATTGGGAAGGAGGGGCATAAAAATACCTCCTGAGCTGCTTTGCACGTACCGGCTGAATATAGCTGGAGTGCTATGTTGTGGCTGGATGTAACAATTAGAGAAATAGGGTCTGGCAGCCAGGGCTCCCTAATTTTGTTTCCAGGTCTGCCTAAAGAATTGTGCTGCAATGAGACAAATCACTCACCCTGTCTGAAAGGGGCTTAGTAAGCACTTGCCTGGCTGGGAGATGTATAGCATGCTGAAGTAAGGCATGTAGCATGTCGAGGTCCTGGGTTTGGAAATGTCTTGCTCAAATTCGCGATGCTAATTTTGGGGGAGGGCATTACAGCTTGGATCATTTGCCTGCCTAGGAGATTCCTGTGGCTGTGAATGGGACATTGTCAGGCAGATCCATTTGGCTCCGGTGGTTGCATGGGCCAAGAATAGCTATCAGTCACATATCAACATGCAAACTACTAAGAAGTGAATAACTATTTTCCACATTGGCGACTGTGGACGTGAAAGGTCTCTGTTTAGCCACAGGCAGTGCATGAACAGTTGTGTCTCAGTTCTGTCCAAGAAGGACAGTGTGGATCAGTCCCCTGTCTCTCTGCTTCCTGGGAACTTCTGCTTACACTTCTCACAAGTAGTGCTCGTGCGTTTTGGGTTGCCAGCTCTTATCTACTAGGAATAAGGAGAGAATCACTAAACAGGCAGCAGCCTCTAGCAGCCTCCAGTCCCTACTAACCCAGCATGTCCAGTAGCTGAGTACTAGAAGTCATTGTCATCCACTATCATCCAGATCCTTGTGTCTTGAGGGAGGGAGAGTGAGGGCAGGAACTTTCGTAACCATTTCGCCGTATATTGAGCCACATCAAAGTCCAGAAGCTCTGGACCTACCAATTCTATGGGCATGTTGGAGCTGGACACTGCAGTGACGTTCAGAGATATCTCAGATGCTTCTGAGACCACCAGTCCTGGACCCCGGGCAGTACAGCTGCAGCTACCCAGTGTCATAATATTATTCTTTTTAACCTTAAGGCAATCCAATTTGTCTTTAGAGTCCATAGATTGCAAATGGCTCCTGACACACCCTGGTCCATTCTGCCCAGGTGGATGCATCTGTCTTGCTTCCAGGACCTATTGGTGGTGGTTGCACTGTGCAAGTCTATCCCAGCTTTGGGTCCCAATCTTCCACAGAATAAAGAAAGAGTCCCCAAAGCCTGCGATGGGCGTTATTGCTTCCCTGCAAACCTTTCCTCTTGGCAAATGTTGGCTGTGAACTTCTCTGCAGCCAAAGTGAAGGAAATGGAGGATGTCTGCCTCCATAAAGGATGACCTGGCCCTGCCAAGAGTTTGAGGCTAAGAGCACTCTGAACTTGTCCTTCTTGTCCTTTCTTTTTTGTTTTGTTTTGTTGTCTGCTGTGACAGGAGATCGATGACTGCCTCGTCCAGGCAAAAGACCGGAGCTACGATGCCCTTGTACACTTTGGGAAGCGGGGGCTGAACGTCGCAGCCACAGCAGCTGTCATGGCAGCTTCAAAGGTAAAGGTGTGGGTCAGGATGATGACATTTGCATCTCGTCTGTATTCATTGCCAACAGCAGCCACAATGTGGAGAGGGAGAGATGATGAGGGTAGGGATTCTCTCACTGATTTTGATCATGCCTCCCAGTCTCCCATTCACCAGCCACACAGGTGCCTCTTGGGATGAAGACAGTAAGTGTGGTGCCTAGTGAACCTGTAACAGGTTGGAAATGAAGAATTAAAACTAGAATCTACCACAGGCTTCTGTTGAATTTTATATTTTTCATCAGTATGCAGCTGGCAGTGTTAGCAATGCTGTTCATCACAGCTTGTGCTCTTCTTCCAGTACCTAAAGGGGGCCTATAAAGTAAGCTGGAAAGGGACTTTTACAAGGGCGTGTAGTGATAGGACAAGGAGAAATGGCTTTAAACTGAAAGAGGGGAGATCTAGATTAGATATAAGGAAGAAATTTTTTACAATGAGGGTGGTGAAACACTGGCACAGGTTGCCCAGAGAAGTTGTAGTTGCTTCATCCCTGGCAGTGTTCAAGGCCAGGTTGGATGAGGCTTTGAGCAACCTGGTGTAGTGGAAGGTGTCCCTGCCTGTGGCAGGAGGGTTGAAACTAGGTGATCTTAAAGGTCCCTTCTAACCCAAACCATTCTATGATTCTATGATTTTCACTGTCAAAATTGGACCATGCTTCCATGAAAGATGCTGAAGTTTAGTGAACATAGATAACACTCTGGCAGGGAAATATCTTCATTTTTTTGGTCAGTACCTTCTGCACTGAAGGGGAAGGCCCGCTGCACCCCAGTTTTTCAATTGTTATGCTGAATTGTTGAGAAGTCTGGAGGATCTAGTGACCTTTAATTTGGGTACTGACAGAAAACAGATGTGATCTGAAGTTCACAAAGGCTAAAAGTTCATCTGCAAGGCTTACACATAACATACCTGGTGTATAATTCTCTGGAGTCGTGTTTATGTAAGAGTCAATGGGATGTGGCATTAGTTGCTTTTGGAGAATGAGCAGATGTTGGATGAGTGGTCTCATCTGAGGAGGTGTATCCTGCACTCTGTTCCTGGCTTAGAGCCAGAAGCAGAAAATAGCTGTTATCACTGTTCTTTGCTTGCATAAAAGCTGTAAGGACTTTATACCTGCGTTTTGTGGTCTTGCTTTCTGGGCATGGGTTATCATGGCTGGCAGTAGATGTGCACAGTGACTATTCCCTTGTGTTTTGGGGACAAGACTTGTATGAAAGATATGGCTTTCATGCAGTCATATACAATGCCTCTTCCAAAAGGATAGTAGAAATATATGGGAAATGTGGGTACTAATATTAGGAAAAGCGTTTGAATGGGAGTTGAAGGAAATTATTTTCCTCCCTTAAATGCTTTTCTGAAGTCCTTGAAAACACCATTTTAGCGTGTCTTGGCCTTAACTTCTGTAAAAATGCGTAATACATCCTTAGGAGGCCAAGTACCATGAAGTCTATAAAGCATGTTGAATGCAAGGTATTAGAGAAGTGGGGAGCCCCTGGGATGTGCCATGCACACATAAGATCACAAGGATATGCAAAAGTTATATCCTGTTCCAAGGCAAAGCCAAAAATTGCCTCCTTTTTCCCTACCAAGCATTGTGCAGACTGTGGCTGTCAGGCCTGGCTCAGTTCTTCTGAACTGTTCCTCTTCAGTGGGGAGGCTCTGCTAACCCAGGGACTGCTGGCTAATTCAAACCTGGACTGAAACCTGGGATAAACATGGAGTTAAGGCAAAGCTGTGTGTTGTATGCCCAACGAAATAACATTTGCGTGATGCCTCCATGACACTTGACTCTTTTACTGCTGCTATGTGAGCCTGAAGAAGTCACACCATGGACATAAATAGGTTCTGGGAATGCCTGTTTTGCAGCACTGCCTTTGCTCTGAGCCCCTTCCTACAAGGTGCTGCAGACTCTCTGTGCTAGAGCTGTTTTTAGGACAGAGTGAAAAACTGTGTGTGAATCTCAAAAATCTGACTTCTCTTTGAGTAGCTCCTGAATATGAGAAGCTCAACAGCAGCCTAGACCCACAGTGCCAACTTGTTCATCTCAGGGCTGCAACAGTGTCTTCATCAGCTTGTCAACCTGGATGAACAGTCAGCGTCACAGTTTTTCTTCCCACTGTTCTGCTTTTCTGTTTTTTCCTTAATAATCTCACTGTCTTTAGTTTGGCTCCAGTGCCAGTGGTAAGCTTGGTAGAAGGGAGAAGAGTCTTCAGGGTACAAGGAAGCCATTGTTTTGCATGAGTTGATGAAGCTCCCCATTCAGTGCTGGAAGAAAGCAACTCTATGACTTGTGTAGTATTGTTGTATGGCACATCTGCCAGCCTAACTTGAGAGAAAACAGTTAAGTCATTGCAACCTGTAAATGGACCTATGTCTTTTCCTTGGTAAGATTGAGAGGTTGTTATTGGATTGATTGATTAATTGATTTTTATAACAAAGCAAGGACTGTTCATGTCTTTGCTTCAATCTTGACATTTAAATTACTCTGAATATGTGAGGAAAAATAGGACTCCTTGCTTCCTTCACCACTTCGGCATGTGGCCTCCAGCAAGTTACTTGCTTCTGTGTGCCTCAGGGTGCAGATCCAAGAGACGGAGTGGGCTGATCTACAGCTCTCCTCCTCCAAAATGGTGTAATGCACCTGCTCCCAGTGGGTTACTGTGCACCAGCTCAAAGGGAATACTGTTTTTTGAGCCCACAAATGTGTCTCAAGTGCCTGAGCCAGCACAAGGGAGGGACAGAACTGCATTGTGAGGAGTATGGCCAGAGGAAAGGGAAGCAAGATCTTCCCGTCTTGGTAGTGGGAAGCAGACAGATTAGCTCTGCTGCTTGTGGGACCACACCCTTAATACATTCACAGGCCTCATAGTGTAATAGTCAGGAGCAGTTCAAGCACCTTCTGTCCCTGTCCTTCTTGGACTGAATTTGCTGTTTTTCAGGCAGGGAGGGTTGAACAGCTGTGACTTACAGCCTGATGTGTTGCAGTACAGAATTGCTGAGCTGGGTTCCTCAGGTATTCAGGATGTGAAGTGTGACAGGTCAGGCACGGACATGTCTCCATTTAGCTGTCCCTGCTGCAGATGGAGCCATTTCCAAGAGAGGAGCGGTGCAAACAGGTATGGGTGGTAACAGCTTCTTCTGCCTTGGTTTTCAGCTTCTGTTAAACATATGTCAACGCCCTTACTTGTTCACTTGAGGAGATATAACAGAGCTAGATTATCCTGCATGAGAGAAGTTTAAATGACTAATTATCTGGAAAACACTTTGAGCTGACAGATGCCAGACAAGACTGCGCTGCTGTCCTTGGGGGGAAGCTTCCAGGGAAGGCGGAAGGAGGATACTATTCATGAGGCTTATCCTGACTTTCCCAATGCCAAGGTTTAAGGGTATCCAGCTAGCCTGTGGTAAGTGTTGAGTGTAGGTGGGAAAGTGAGCCCTGAACAGGTTCATTGGGTTTCAACCTTTAACAGATCATTTTAAATTGGAACGTATAGATTTGACCGTATATTCAGAAGCACTGAGGTCCTGCAGCTCCCATGGAAAACGTGGCTTTTACCAACAAGTGAGTGTGAGGATCTGTTCTATTTCCTGCTTTGCTTGAATTAATGGGCAAGGAAAAAATGGTTTTGTATTAAGAAATGGACCCTCAGACTTTGCAAGTCAGCATCTTCTGGTGGCAAATACACAGTGAGACGCTGGGCTGAAAGTGTGCTCTGTGCAGACCTGTTTTCAGTAAATTAGCTTAAATCTAAAGACTCCTGTACTTGGAGATGTGTCTCCCACTGTGCGTAGCCTTGTCCTCTCCTTTCTCTCTGAGCTGTGGTAACTGATTTTCTTGTGCTCCACAGGATCAGTCATGATTTTTCGTATTTCATGATAAGATCTTTGCGCAAGGCTCATCTCTTCATTCCTTTTATCCATTGGGCAGCATAATGCCGCTGGCTCTCTGATTACGATTATGGTTCGTGTGTGACAGGCTGCTACTTATGGATTTACCTGAGGCTAAAATGCTGCAAACTGCGCACAGCCACACCTTCCTTATCTCTGCTCCCCTGGCCTTTTCCCCTTTTTATCGTAAATAGCCTACAGTTTTTAGTTAGCCAAATGCAGACTTGTCTCCCTTCCCCTTCCTCCTGCTCCCTTCCCCTTCCTCCTGCTCCCTTCCCCTGCTCTGTTTTGTTTTGAAGCCACAGTTGTGCTAACACTGGCACAAACCTGTGCCAGTTCATTTTACAGGCTGATGAGCTGTCAGTGTCCCAAGTACCCTGAGTCTCCCCAGCTGGCTCGCTTGGGTGTTTTCTCTCTCTCCGGAGAGTCTATTTTTGATACTCTCTAAGCAGACAGAGCATTGGATATCTGGTCTTACTACCCCTGTTAGGTGCTCAAGACAGATCTTTTCCCTACCCCCAGCAGCTTGCGTCCCCACCAAGGCGCATAATCTCATTTGGAGCTCTGTAATCCTGTCCTCATTGCTTGGTCATTCTGTCACACGCTGTGGCTTCAAGTGGGTCAGTCCTAAGTGGCGGGATTAGATGACCGGGCAGTAAATCCTTCTGCTCTTTGT